CAAGACAAGACAAGAGAAGCTTAAGATTAATCCATTTCAATATATTGGTAGAACGATGAAGTTTTTCAATAACACCCTCTGGTAATTTTGCATCACCACAACTATATCAGATAAAATAATATACTCTGCCAACATTACGCCGGCAGTATATTTTTAACTTTACATAAGTTTACGACTAATGATTAAAAAAAATCTAATATCACCAACATTTCCACACTGTTATCACTACGACAAACAAACACGTCACATAAACCTACAGGAAGGTCAGTCAAAGTTATTAAATTGAGTTCTTTATCTTAGTAAACAAAAGGTTTTGGATACCGAAACGACAGTTCAGTTGGATCTTTTTGTGATCGTAAAATATATTTGATTTGATTTAGTGACTTAGCGATTAGTTGAACGCCGACAAAGGCGGCTGCTGTCTTATCGGTCCGTGGTCTCTTATTTCAAATTAAAGAGTTAAACGTTTTGCGATTATTGATCGTTAGCGCTGCTTTTGGCCAGCGTTGGTAAACGAAATTCTCTTTGGCAAATCTTGTTGTTCTAATCAGTTTCAAGAGATGTTGCTAGTTAATTTCAATAAATCCAATGGACTTTTTGATGTCGTAGAACCAACAAGTTTTTTTATAGAATATTTGAAATCTATTGGTCGATCCAATAAATTAAAATTTCAAAAACTATTGTTTAAATTGTTGGCAGATAACCAGTTTTCATTGCTAAGCACATTACTTCCACCTATAAATCAAAATCAACTCCCCCAGTAATCATACAATAACATACAAATTTCTCGCTCACTGATTGGCTAACAGCCTATGATCAATAAAAGGACAAAAAAATAGTGAGCCTGTGCTCGCTGAAAATTTTTTTTTTCAAATTTTTTCCTTGTTTTTTTAAAATATTTATTTTGTTATTGTAAAAAAAACGTTAGTAGATTTCCATTGACTGTACTCTTGTTCAGTGATCTTCTCATACTCATTAATAATTCATGAATAAACCAGCCAATCAATGGGCTTTTTTTGGGTCACATGATGTTGCTTGAAACCTGGTAAAGTGCTGTGAAAGGAATGCATTCAGTCTGGAGTAACTGGAACATAATTAATTCAGTCCTAGGACTGAATTAATTTTTTTCCAGTTACTCCAAGTCGAATAATTAATGAGCATGAGAAGTCATTTCAAAGCCTCCAATATTGGACTGGACGGGATTTCAAGTCCGCGCAATTAGTTCCAGTCCTCATTATCGGCTTTGAAATATTACTTAAAAACCTCATTAATAATTCATGAAGGAAACACAATAGAAATCATGACCATGAAGGAGGTTTTATATCTGATAAAGATTCGTCTTCATTTGCATAAACTTTAACTTGGATTTTCTCTATCAAACTTGGTTCATTTCGTAAAGAATTCTGTAGAATATGAAAACATGCATCACGAGTTTTTTAAGCCGTTCAATAAACTCGCAGATCGTGTTTTATCGGGTCTAAAACCACTTGGCTACGCCTCGYGTTTCATAACCGATAAAACACTCCTGCTCGTTTACTAAACAGTACTTAGTTGACGTCTTAAGATGTTCAAAACTTCAGAGTGAAACCACTCACTGCGCTCGTTGTTCCTCTTGAGTTTTGAACATTCCAAGACGTCATCCATGATCAACAAGAGGACAGACCATGTAAATAAATGAGGGATTTGTAAATTTTCTCCCTGGTTGTACCAATGAACAACGCGTTACAATTACATCGTTACAATTGATTTGATCGCTTTATACAAAATTTAAAAGTGAAGCTTTAGTCAACAAATTCTACGAGGCAGATGTGAGAATATATTATTAGCTAATATTAAATTATTGGAATTCACTCATGTGACAATATCTATAGACATATCTTTCATAATCACAAATATATATTAATTGATACAATTGAGTAGATATAGAATATGGATAATAATACACCTATATTATGTGAGCTGATTGGCTAGAATTCTTTTGGCAGACTGAGATGATATAGAGCGTTTGCACTCACGTGAGAAGACAGCCATAAACAATAGAAACTTTCTGCATAGTATTTGCATAAAAATAGAGTTCAATTCCCGGAGGATAGAAAATGTATTGTTTTGGTACCCCATAATGGCCGCTTTGACGTCACGTGAAAACGCTCTATTGAAAACGCATAGCAGTATATAGAAAACTATATCCGATTTACACGGTACGATTTTTCCTCACAACTGTAATGCACAACATGCTCACGCCAAGTTTTACGGCTGCCATTTACAGTCGTAAGAATGTTGTCTGGTCGATGTACACGAAGCAAATCGTGACGTAAGCTTGTTGCGCTCGACAGTCGTGAGCTTTATTTGAGGGTTATATTATGACTGAATAGCTGTCATCATTTGATCATTTCCATTCCAAAGTTAGAGGCATGTATTTGCGCTTCACGCACGTAGCTCAGTATAATTATTGACAAAATAATTATACAAAATATATGGAAGGAAAAGTAATGGGTGAGGAGGGAGGGGGAGGGGGAGGAGTTGTGGGTGTGGGAGGGTGGGATTGATGGATAGAGCCGGAAGGAAGAAGGCGATGGAAGGGGAACGAGTTACAAGACGTTCCCCACATTCGTCAGAAACATGTCCAAGGCTGCTTAATAGATGCAACGCAAATATCTTTCGGCGCGTTACTCAAGACTGTTTAATTGATCGTCTCTACACTTGCTCCTGCTCCTGCGTTGATACGTTTCCTAAGCACACCAACCAGCCTCTCAAGTCTGCAACAAACGATTACAGAAACCTGAATATCTACAGAATCAATCAAGAATCAAGGAAACACGACTCTCCCAGCATAGGGTTGGAGTGTTTTAATTTGTTTTATAAAATAATTGGGATACTACGCGCGCTATGATTGGTCGAAAACCATGTTTGATGAGAGTATCAAAACACGCTACCGTCATTTTTAATCTATCGTGCACGCTCATTGGTCAGTTTGAATGAGACTGCACGTAGGGAGAATTTACTTAGACTTTGCTTTTTTTCTATCTTTCGCGCGTTTGTTATTTTATAAAACAGATCAAAAACAGTTTTCCGTGTTTGATACTCTGATCAAAACAGGCGGGATGTTGAGAGAACACGAGAGGAGCGTAGGAAACCACGACTCGTAGCTGTTTTTGATTTGTTAATTCAGGCGTGTACGGTTCTACGAGTTGTTTTATGCCATATTGCAATGTCACAAGACTTTTCTTTGGTATAWTTTCTCTGGTATATTTTCTCATATCAAGCAACAACGTGCTCGACCATGTTATCTTTTGTCACTTAAGCTACATGTACATGGGAATAATTGCAGACCAAATTTGACCCAATTTCGTATTCGAAGTGATAAAAATCCACCCGGCGGGTATCAATAAAGAGGATTCTGTTAAGGCTGATTTACATGGCACGATTTTTCGTCACAACTGTTGCACGCAACATCCTGACGATAAAAATTGTTTGGTGTACATCGACCGTACGATTTGATCACGACTATAAACAGCAGCTGAATCTTGGTGTAAGCATGTTGCGCGCGACAGTTGTGAGGGAAAATCGTACAATTTAAATCGGATTTTTACAGGGATACGATCCTACGATCGTGTCTCAGAGTGTGACAATCTTTAAAAGTGATTCAGTATGAGTGTTTGATGAGATGATGCTGATGATCAACCACTTACTTGTCAGCTCTCTCTTTCTCCTTCTGGTATTTCTTGTTTATTTCATACACTTGTTCAGCAAGTGTACTTCTCTCGGAGGAAACGGAGCGAAGTTTGCTGACCAGGTCATCATAGGAGCGCTGAGCGAGAACGAGTTCCCCTTCACGCATGCGYATACGATTCTCAAAGCCGTCCATTGTACTGTTGAACTGGTCACGGAGATTTTGTTCCTGACTCAAGGATCTGTGAAGGCTATAGGAAATAGGATACATAAAGAAGGCTGGCAAAGGGATAATTTGTCAACATAAGAGGAAAACACAAGAGGAATGCAGATAAGCTGTGCACATATACCGCATCTTATTTTAATTTTTTCACACTGGCAACGCAATGGGGTGGAGTGAGGTGAGGCGAGGTGAGATGAGGGAAGGAAAGGTGAGGTGAGGTGAGGTGAGGTGAGGTGAGGTGAGGTGAGGCGAGGCGAGGCGAGGCGAGGTGAGGTGAGGTGAGGTGAGGTGAGGTGAGGTGAGGTGAGGTGAGGTGAGGTGAGGTGAGGTGAGGCGAGGCGAGGCTAAGCGGGGCGAAGTGAGATGAGGTGAGGTTGTGAGGTAAGGAGTGGTGATGTGAGGTGAGGCGAGGCTAAGCGGGGCGAAGTGAGATGAGGTGAGGTAGTGAGGTAAGGAGTGGTGATGTGAGGCAAGGTTAGATGCTGTAAGGTTAGGTCAGGTGACTGAGGTAAAATAAGGTGGGGTAAGGTGCAGAAGAGACAATCTAATAAACCAATATGTGTATGTTACCTGTAATAGACGCGTATCGTTTCAAGTTCTTCCTCCAGACGTTTCGTTTTCCGCAAAGACGCGTCTCGCTCGTGTTGAGAAGATAACAGTTGCGCCTATGAATACAAACAAACCCTTTTAATCCTATTAACCTTATTAACTACTACATCTTGGGCAAAACTGAGAAGTTCAATATACACCAGTAATCGCCACTCAACACCACCTTCCCCCATGGTGTCGAAATAAGAATAAAGAGTAATGTAAAATCTAAAGACAATGATATAGAGGATATTACATGGGCGCGCGGAGATACGAAATTTATCTTCGAGTGTTGAAAAGATCTCTCACAAGTGAGCGCAGCGAACGAGTGAGAGATTTTCAACACGAGAAGATAAATTTCSWATCTCCAAACGCCCATGTAATATTCTGTTTATTATATATTTATGCATAAAATCAACTTAACAAGCTTTTTATTATTATAAAAAGTTTTTATTTATAAACTATAGCTTAAATACACATGGCAACGATATTTTCACATGTGAAAATAACATGTTATTTTCACATGTGAAAATATCAGTTTTTCGAAAAGGAGAAATATARGTATTTTATGGATAATTATATGATAAATACTTTTATTCAATTAAGGTATATAGACCACTTGCAGCACGTCGGAATGCAGCACAATTGGAGGACATAACAATAGGTTTCCAATTGTCTTGAGAATCTTTGGTTTTGTCCTCCAAATTGAGGTGTGTTGACGTCACATGCAAGGGGTCTGTTATAATCACCTGGGTTGTCTTGATGCGGTGTTTTTCTGCCAGTTTAAATTGATTTTTCAACATTTTTAATTCCTTGTGTAATTTTTCCACTTCTTCTTCCAGCGCTTTGACCTGCAGAGAAGTATTATTTAAGCCACAGGTAGCCCAACAACATCAATTTCTACTCATGGTATTCACAGCTTACTTTTGATAGAGCTTGGTCTCGTTCTTCTAGGACTGTTTTTAGCTCCTCTGCTATTGCTCGCTGGTGTGTTTTTTGAGCTGATTTCAGTTTATCCGCCATTACTGTACCTTGCTTGTCGATAGAACGGGGGCTTTCGGAAACCGTCAGTCTGTTAAGCAATTCTTTTATTGACTATGCACAAAAAAGGGGAAAAAACGAAGAAGTTATTTTAAATTTCAGCCAACGGACACCTGGCTATCATTAGAAGATTGTACAATGAAGAAAGTATAAAGGAAAGGAAAGGAGAGGAGAGGAGAGGAGAGGAGAGGAGATTTATTTTACAATATTGAGGATGTGGGAACGTATGTCTGTATTTATGAACAAAATGGTAAATGGTTGGTGGTTTAAAATATATAAGGGTAGTTTTGGACACGTGATAGAGAAAGTCTATAAAGTGACATGTTTTCCTTTTCCTGTGATTGACTATGGAAAAGTGTTTAAAAAATTATCAAGTATCCTCTCATGGCCACACACATCGGGATCACATATCGGGATCTGATCTTTCTGTTTCTTTTCTTCCTTCGTTTTTTTCATTCTTCCATTTGTTTTTGTTTTTGTTTTGTTTTTTGTTGTTGTTTTTTGTTGTTTTTGTTTTTGCTTTTGTTTGTTTGTTTTTGTTTCGTTTTCTTTTTTTGTTTTGTTGTGTTTTGTTTAATTTTTGTTCATTCTTCGTCACCTTTTTTCGAAAATATTACGTTACCAATTCCAACCGTGTATATGGATCTGCAGGTGTATCTTATTTTCCACTGTGATACAATGTCATCGTGCAGGCATTTTTAAATCCTTTTTTAACCAAACACTCACCTTCCAGTCATTCAAAGAGAGTATTTCCCAAGCATGATGCAAACCACTACAATTACAACTACATTCGGTACGTAATCTAACCTGATCGGCATCTTCATCATCGTACACTGAATCCACTCCCGAATCAAATCTGCAAACAAAATGAAACTCAAGTAAAGAGGGGGCATTCTATCTTTACAGTTCAAGATTCTTTGAGTGTAGCTTTTATGTTTTTGTTTTCAAAACCTTGTTGTTTTTGCTTTTCGTTTTGCTTTTAAAGCGTTGTCCAACACGGTACAAACAGGTTAAAGCATGCATCGTAAAACCAGGCTTACTTTTGCAGGTTTCACTTCGTATAAAATAATCATGAAAAGTGTAAAATTTGATTTTAAAAATACAAGAAATTATATGCTAAATCAGCAGAGAACTACGAAAGATATACTTCGTACTCCATCAAATATACTAGTCTTTTAGCTCTAAAATCTTTCATTTGCGTGAGACAAAGTAACGAAAATAGAGCATTGTTTTGCATTGCAGTTGAAACGAGTAAAATTCCATCTTATTTTTTTGCGTTTCATTTCCATTAAAATTTGGGAAAAAAGACATTTTAAAAAAAAAGATAAAGGAATTTTAAAAACCTTTTTAAAAAYATCGAATTCTTGTACCTATCAACTTATTTACCTTTCCATATTTGGAAAGAATTCAAATAGATTATATTGTGTTGAACCAAATTCTGTGAATCTCACTGTTCGGAGTTGTCAACCAAGTACAAAGTAGATTCAGATTATTTAAGGTACATGTAGATAGAGATTACCACCTGTATTAATGCTAAACCAGTTTAGTGGTTCATTTATGACAGGTGGATTGAAAACCACTGTATAACTTATTAAGGGACTGGTCATAAAGTAGTCATAAAGGGGAATATATTATATGTATATGTATATGTATTTGTTTATGCACACTCGATTGCAGAAACGTCGTAGTATACATTTATACAAATATCTAATGAGATGCACAATGCAAAATAACCATTTTCAACGCTTAAAACCAACTGATTTATAATCTGTACGATCTAATAGACATTAAAAAAATAATTTGACAGTCATTGAATGAAACAAACAATAAATAAAGCGATTTTTCTGTTTTGCATATCATTAAAATATACTGAATAAATTAGATATATGCATAAATGTATATTACAACGTTTCTGCAATCGAGTGTGTATGTATGTAGTGTTTAAAAAACGAGTAGGAGTGTTTTATCAGGTATAAAAGCACCAATTGGAGCCACCATACACGTCACGAACATGAATTTTTATACTTCGATAGAGATTTGACGTCACGGGCATGCGCAACCAGATTCAATAGAAGCTCCCACACGTTGGATATTGCGTGCCAAGGCAAAGACAGGCACGTTAGTCAAAGATCTTTATAGGGTTGACTATGACCTTGATGAAGCTCTATGTCTTCATCTAAACTTGGATGCATACTTCATCCCTGATGAAGTCATCCTCATAGTATTCGAGTGGCCTTTATATAAAGACACATGTGTCTTTATATAAAATCACTTGAATACTAATGAAGAGGACTTTATCGGGTATATGGTGGCGCCAATTGGACCATAATCTTATGAATTATTAATGAGTGTTTTAAATATATTTACAGCTATTTCAAAAATGGTTGAATACTGAATACTGCATACTGAATAGTGCATTCGAAGACCAAAGGGCATTGTGGGTCTCGTTAATTTGAAATAAAAAGTAAATATACAGCAATGAACCCTACATGTAGTTAGTATATTGCTTCAGATGGAATACACTAAAAATAGAAAAAATAATTATTATTAATCCTACTTTAGACAATGTCACTATGACCCACAATGCCCTTTGGTCTTGGAATGCACTATTCACTATGCAGTATTCAGTATTCAACCTTTTTTGAAATAGCTGTATATAGAAAATATTGAATTAATAACCTGTATAAAATAAATGTGTGTGTGAAAAAAGGGGTAAAAGCAGGGGGTGGGTAACACAATTTTGAACTTCTTAAAAGGGACTGTCATTAAACTGTGCATCATTTGCATTTCCTGGATAGAAACTTGGGGGAGGGGTGGGGGGATTATCATTTTTTCAACCTCATACTGGGCAAGGGAAAAAGGGCTCTTATTTAGATAACAACTAGTACTCTAATCTTATCATCATACCCAGCTTGCTCTTTCTCCAATCTACGCATTGTAGCCAGCAAGTCCTCCTTCTCTTCCTTGGCTTGCCTTAGTCTGGCATTAACAGCAACATCCCTCTCTTTTTGTGCTCTGTAGATTTTATCAACAAGTGCTATGGAGTAAACATGAAAAATAAATCAAAAATGACATACTGTCTCAAGGTGAAGAAGGTTTCCAACATGTTTTATTTAGTGCTAGAGTTCGCAAAAATGCCTAAATTAGCACATTTTATACCAAAATTATTGAGATACTTCAAAGAAGAAAGAGGCCAACTTGACTCCAAGAATCTGACCTGGAATTTTTGCCAAAAACAAATCAAAAGGCAATATACCCACACACTGAAGCAGGGTGGGGGGGGGGGGGGGGGGGGGGGGGGGGGACGCCTTGTCAGAAAGAGAACTAAAACCAATTAAGCTAACAAGCGGCGACTGGGATTCAAACCCTGGACCTTTAATTGGAGGTGAACATTTTGACTTCTCAAGTTAGAAGACAATATTTTATTACACACACATTAATTATTGCTGCAAAATATACTAGCGTTTAATATACTTAGACTGGTATATAATATAAACTTGTATAAGTCTGCATTATTAAATACTTTTACCTGCTCCTTGAGATGCTATTCTTGACTCGGCCTGCATCAACAAGCCATCACGTGTCATCTTTGTTGCTTGTATCTCAGCTTCTGCATTTGCTAGCTTTTCTGTAAGCTGTTTTTAATAGTCAACAAACATAAGATAAACAACAAAGAAATTTACAGTGAGAAAATTCGAAACCATGAACATCTTGAGTTTTTTTCACTCCTGACAGATTAATCCCTGAACTTTCTACTGTTTCAAACCTTCTAAAATGGAGCATTGAGTTCAAATACACCAAGGTTAGTGATCAAAAAAATCTTATTTCTAATTGATTGGCTCTAGGAATGTCCTGATTTACAGTTCACATTTTCTTAAAGAAACAAAAATGCAAAGTGTTCACGATTCAAGTGTCCTCATTGTAAAATAATACAGATCTTCTTGGCTTGAGCTTAATGTTTCTCTATTTCGTGTCACATGTTATTCTCTTGGGAACAAGATTAATCTAATGCATTTATCACTCCTGGGTAATGCCTAACAGGTTTTGCAGCCCAATTGCTAAGGCACACGATAGATCAAATTAGAATTAAGAAGTTGATTTTTGTGGATGGTGGAAAGACTGGAGAGCCCCGAGAAAAAATTCTCAAAGCTAATAAGACAACCAAAAGACTCTACTCCCATACTCAACACAACACTACTCACACTCTACAGATGGCAAGACTGGCAGGACTTGAACCCTGGTCACATTTGTGAGGTGCCTTATTAGCAGCACACACAACCTATGCTTCCCTTCTTTGCTTGGTTTTCAACTACTTTGATTTAAGCATTTTCTGAGTGTTATGTAACTATGAAGCAATGATGTTATACTTACTTGGGAGTTTAGTGACCTTGAAGCCTCTAATTCACCACTGTTCAGTAAAGAACTTCCACTGTAATCAAGACTGAAGTGAAGGGGAGATGAATATCTTGGTTCCTGGCTTCCTCTTCCATCCTTCATAAGACTTCTAGATTTCTCTCTCAATAACTCTTCTGATTTCTCTGATAATTCTCTTTCCAGTTGTTGCCTTAGTCTCTGCTCTTCTGTCAAAAGTTTATCCCTATAAAATACAAGGTAAAAGCAATTGTAAATCTTCAAAAAAGTATTGTTTTTAGTTGTAATTGTAGTTGAATAGAAAACTGTGGAAATCTTCAACCATTTCTAAATGAAATACCTTCACCACCTAGAAAATTATTATGAAATCTGGCTTCGAGTTACGAATTGCAAAACCATACGCAATAGACTACTTCGACGATGCAGTGGCCATCTTGAATCCTAATGCATTGTGTGTTGTCCACCCGGGGGGGGGGGGGGGGGTACTCCCCTATATATACGGGTACGTGCCGCCAAACAGGGTATGGTTTTCAGCAATTCCACTCTGGAACAGGGTATATAAAATCGCGCTCGCTCTGGGACAGGGTATATGAAATCACGCTCTCTCCTCTCTGGAACAGGGTATCCATTTTGGCAATACCAGAATAAGTTATGATTTTCAGCRATCTTGCTCTGGAACAGGGTAAGAATTTCAGCGATTTTACTCTGGAACAGGGTCAGTATTCAGTGAGATCAGCGGCTCATCCCTACCCTAAACATGMAATAATACCTCCATCCCCCCAGGGTTGTCCAGTGGCCAAATAAAGCATTCTTACAGTAATGACGTCGATTGATATTAACAGCTYACCACAAGAGAATATAAAAAAGATGAAGTAAGGTGGCACATCCATCACCTTTACCCATAAAAGAAAGACAAACACACAAATATCTATATATCTTTTGCATCATCTTTGTTTTGTTTTTCCCCCTTGCAAGATGGCCTTATTGTCGAAGTAGTCCATTACTATCAAGGTTGAGCAAAATATAGTGATTTGTTTGTGGAGAGTGAGCAATTATTTGCTATAATGCTAAAGGCAGAGGCAAATGCTTGCTTGTGAAACAATAACGGTTCACAATATTTTGTGATAACCAAGTTCAATGATATTCTTTATCGTTCAATTTATTTTTTCCATTTCCTTTTTTTTCTCTTTATCAAACATACCAAGTCATGGGGAAAAGCGTGCAAAGTTAAAGAGAWAGAAAATGTGTGGTCATGCTGCGTGCAGTTATAAAGCACRCGGGGATAGGCAGAAAACGAGAGAAGTGTTAGGAGAAGCATGACACATAGCAGAGTGCTTCTCAACACTTTTCAAATGATCTGTCAATCCCCGTGTGCTTTATAACTCCACACAGCACAGCAAGCAAGTTTTTATTTCTTTTCTATTTCTTATATCGAATTACAATAAACGTTATTTTAGATAGCAACTGAAAGGGCACACACGTTCTGTGCACTCTCATAAAGCACGTGGTTCCAACCAATCAGAACTAGAGATTAAACTCTCATCAAACAATGTTTTGAACCATGGTGTGTTACATTTGCTCATGCGCACTACATGTAATCAGTTAAAAACCAGTTTCCACGATCATGGACRGTGGTGTATCAAAGGAAATGTTCTACATCGGCAGAGTCTCCTTCCTCCCCGCCTGAAAGAAGGGAGAGAAAGAGAAAAGAGACTCTGCTAGAAGGGAACTTTGCACCGTAATGCTCCTGAGCAGATGATTATTTAAAGGCAGTTATTTGCAGTTATCTCGACCAATGAAAATGACAGAAAAATCAATTTGAATGAAATAGAATATGTCATTGTAAGTCAAGTCAAAAGAAAAAAAGCAAATGAATAGAAATTACAGTAGTTAAAGCTTATCATTTTTCACACAAAAAAGGAATGTTTACGATTGTTAAGTTGAAGCGGTCCTATAAAGATGGAAATATCATATATTAAAGAAATATATCAAAGAATATGCTGAAAATTCAAATGGTTTTTGTTTTGCGTTGGTGAATTTTTACTAGACCCAAAAAAGTCTATAGCAACGCATATTCAATCTGCAACAATAAAGAATTTTCAATCTTATAGCTTTCGAACGCGTATTTCGAATGTCTCTTTCGGCAATAAATGTACTTGTTAAAAGAAATAAATCATTTTATATCAATAAATGATAATTAAGTGACCAAAACCAAACTAAACGACTAGTATAAAATATGTAATAAAGCTCAAGTCTAAAACTTGAAAAAGTAAACAACAACAATCGAATTCAAACATRCTTGAATTATAACTATTAAACTCCCCTAAACTGACTATAAAATAGGATTATCAACAGCGAGATAGCTTTATAAAGCTTTAAGCGTCCTATGATATTGATAGGTTATTAAAATATTGACACATTTGACATATTTTTTAAGAATTGTTTTCCTGGACTCACTTTTCTTCGGCATCGCGACGTAAATTCGCCATCTTTCGCCTCGCTTCTTTCATTGCACTACGGACATGTTGTCGAATTTCATCTACTTCTTCTCTGTCGTCGTCGACAGTGGAGACGAAGTGATGTCCGCGATTAAAAGAGTCGTTTGTGCGGTGGAAATAATTCAGTTCGTCACGAATAGAGTCCATGGACGCTGTACCTTCGAGACTGCATAAATTAGTAAATGAATAATTTATGACATAGGGAGCCCAACGTCTAAAAACCTACCATGAACCTTGGAAGTACACGTACAGTGTATATATATAAGAGACCTTTAGCGTCAGGTGTACAGAGCTAACCGCTAGGGATCAGGCCCAGAAACACGTCCGCAAACACGGAGAAACACTCAGCATCAATGAAATTCAATATGACAGCTCTTCCAGCAACAACTTTGTTATGGCGCTTTGCAAGAGAATATTATCTTGCCACTTGCTAAATGCCGAAAGGGGATTTTGACGGAAAACGCCGGACGTCAAACTGCAGTTTGAGGTTTGCGGTTCCTAGCAAAAACGTCGTAGTCTATTAAACGTCATCTTTAAATAATTTATTGAGGTCCCAGCGTTTATGATAATAAATAATTTTTCAAGCAAAAAATAAATTTTAATGTATGTACATAGATGCTTGAATCATGAGGAGCCGCACAAGAGTTTTAAAGCCAATTATGTTTGATTGACGGTTTCTAGGATAGTTCTTAATCTTCCTCTTTGATTGCATCTGTCAGTAAAAAATTTAATCGAAACAGTGTAACGCCATCAAAAGCGCGGGTTCTTCAAAATATATTTACTTCTCCTTCTAGCCTCGCGTGTCTTTGGGCGCCGATGCTAATAGCTTCCCATCGCGTTCTTGGTCCTTCTTTCGAAATTAAGAAGGCATGGAATGCTTTACATGAGGGTATTTTTCGTCCTAGGTTTGTCAATCAGAGTTGTGGCAGAATATGGAGACTGGGACCATGACCCGTCCATCCCCCTCATGGACGGCTGATCGGTTCCGAGAGCTGCATTTCGTTTACAAATAAAGCAGCCTTCCTTCTCGAAGACCTATTATATGACCAAACTAACAAACACATTTCGCATTGCGAATTTTAACACCAATTATAAGTCTGGCAACCGTGGAGACGATCTTACCGTGAACTGAATGTCGTAACCGATTTTGTGGATTACCTGTGTAATCAGCTTCTGAAACTAGTATAGATTTGATTGATTGTGACGTAATAGCCTCCTGCGCAGGCAACTCAAGGCAAGGGCACTAGGACACCGAATGTGGTTGGATTTCTATAGGTTTTTTACCCTTTCGATTATTTGAATTAAATTAACGTTATATACTCGTTTACTTATCTTGTGTCCGTGTTCCTTCGTTGTCTTCGTTCGCTGTTATAGTGCAGACGTTTTCATTCCAAAGGTCAAACGGTTTGAATAGCCTACGAGCGTTACTTCTTTAACGGCCGTTCCGTACTTGACTCTGTTTGAACTATACCAACAACAACGCGACCGCGCGATGCTCCTTACGTCAGTAATATTCAACCGTCCAGTTAATATGGTTAATCAAATTCACCTTAAGTTCTATATAGAACCATTTGTTTCAACAGCCCAGAAGAAGCAAGACTTTGTCTGCTATTCCCTCTTGGGACGGAGTTTACATTTTGGTTTAGCACAACCGCATCAAAGATATAGTGCTGCTCTCTTCTAGAGGGAGAGGAGTTTTGTGTCCTGCCTCTCCCTCTTCTCCTATTTTGTGATGATCTTGTAGGTACTAYAAGATCACCCAAAGGTTGAGGTCTCACAAATTGCTGCCTCACACTTTGGGCGATGTTGTTTGCTAATCGAGCATGCTACAAAGAAAAAGAAAAATAAGAATTAACATCCATAAATGAAWAAAATRTATAAAATTTACTTATTGAATATTCCCCACTCTTATAATGGACTCTTGTTATTATAGACACCAAATTTATGGTGTTTCTAATTAACGGTATCTACTAAAACAAAAGCTTACGTGTCCTACTCTTGAGATTGTATTTCCATTGGCCTGCAAAGCAAATGATAAAATGATTTCATGTAATAAACTTCTGTATACTAGTAAGTTGTTGATTGAGTCTGGGCCAAAAAATGCCTTACAAAAAAAGGCCTTACAAGTAATGAGATGTTTTCTGCTTGACCTTTGGTAGAATATGGCTGCGCCATGAATGTCCTTCATTTACTCACGCCATTTGCTCTCAAAAACGAATAACGTATACAGTGTGACAATTTATCATGAACAATAAAATATAATGAAAAGCAG